TATTATCTTCCCTGTTGAAGAAATTTTGGAAACTCAGAACTTTTCTTTTTCTCATAAAAGGACTGCCTTAATATGGATCTTCAATATTTTCCCCCTTTGCTGATAAAGACAACTGGTTTTTCTTAATTACTTTTTTCTATGACAAGCAAGGGTCATGAGGTCAGAATTATACAGGTGGTCCTCCATTTACAAGAGTTCATTTAGTGACCGTTCAAAGTCACAACGACACTGAAAAAAGTGATTTAAGGCCGTTTTTCACCCATATGACCATTGCAGCATCCCCATGGTCACGTGATCAAAATTCAGATGCTTGGTAACTGACTCGTATTTATGACAGTGGCAGTGTCCCAAGGGGCCATGGGAACCCCTTTTTCGATTTTCTGACCAGCAAAAATCAATGGGGAAGCCAGATTCACTTAACAAGCGTTTTACTAACTTACCAACTGCAGTGATTCACTTAACAACTGTGGCAAGAAAAGTCGTAAAAAGGGGCAAAACTCACTTAACACTTTCTGTTTCACTCAGGAACAGAAATTCTGGGCTCAATTGTGGTCGTAAGTGAAGGACTACCTGTATCACAGAGTAGAAAGATTTATATCCTAAATGGAAATCCAGGCTTTTGTTGGTTTTTGGTTTCCTGTTTCCTCCTTTGGCTTGCCTAAAAATATTAGGCAATATAGAGTGAGCCTAGAAAAGCTGAAATCCACCCTGCACAGATAGTCCTTAATTTGCAACCATTTGTTTAATGACTTTTCAAAATTACAGTAGCACAGAAAAAAGTGACTTATGACTAGTCCTCACACTTACAATCTTAATGGTCACGTGATCAAAATTTGGCACTTGGCAACTATCGTGTATTTATGATAGTCGCAGCATCCCAGGATCATTTGACTGCCATTTCAGACCTTCCCAGCTGGCTTATGACAAGCAAAGTCAGTGGGGGAAGCTGGATTCAGTTAACAACCATGTGGTTCACTTAACAAGTGTAGTGATTTATTCAACACCCAAGGCAAAAAAAAGGTCATAAAGTTGGACACGATTCACTTAATAACCAATATTATTTAGTTAGCAGTGGAAATTCTGGTCCGATTGTGGCCATCAGTCAAGGATTACCTGTAGTTTGAGACCCTTGATCGGAAAAGGAAAGTGCAGAATAGAAAGCGGTGACAAGCCACAGATGGACAAGAATGAAAAACAAGTAATGATGTGGGTCTTTTTTCTGCAGGAAAGAAATAAAAACACCACGAATCCCCAGGAGGCCTTCTCCTACTCTTCCATAAACATCCTCCAGATACATCCACCCTGGTTTTTCCTAGCAAAAGTTTAATGAAGATGCAGAGATGGAAGGTTGAAAGGATTTGGAATGTCAAGTCACATGTGGATGGGGGAAAGAAAAAAAAAGAAAACTGGGAAAAGAAAATTAGAAACAATTAAGAGCAGAACTGACTGGGATAGAACACTTTCAAGAAGTTATGCGGTTGTGATATGTGAAATCTTGCAATCTGGGAGAAAGAAAGTGTCCTAATAAAAAAAGAGGAAGCCAACAAAAAGAGGTAGCAAATAAGTACATACAATCAGAGAAGATCAGCTGAGCAGTGAAACTGATGGTAGAAGAGGAAGAAGAATGGTATGAGAGAAAATGTTTTAGAAGAGAGCAGATGGTAGGAAGACTTGAGTGACTAGTGTTACTATATATATGACCTTCTTGAGCAGCTGTTTGGCTTCTGTCTGACTCTTGGGACCCCCAAGTGGCGTGGAGACTCAAGTCTTCTTGACTTGGATCTAGGGGTAGGCAACCTTGGCTCTTTTATGACTCATGGACTTCAACTCCCAGAATTCCTGAGCCAGCCATGCTGAGGGGAAAGGGAGAGTTTCCAAGCTGAGCCATACTGGCTGAGGAATTCTGGGAGTTGAAGTCCACGAGTCATAAAAGAGCCAAGATTGCCTAGCCCTGGTCTAGCAGCTCCATTTTAATTTTCCACAATGGTTGGAGAAGGAAAGATAGGATCTTTGCATGTTTCTGAGCTATACCTCCCAACCACTGAGCTCTGGGAATACAGTAGTACAACCACAATTGATCGTAGTTTTCAGTGCTAAGTAAGACCATTGTTAAGTGAATTGTGCCCCATTTTATGGCCTTCCTTGCCACAGTTGTTAAGTGGATCACTGCCGTTGTTAAATGAGTAAACGTGGTTGTTAAGTGAATCTGGCTTCCTCGTTGACTTTGCTTATCAGAAGTTTGCAAAAGGGAATCACGTGGCCTTGGGATAAATACATGCTAATTCCCGAGCCTCTGAATTTTGATCACGTGACCACGGTGATGCTGCAAGAGTCATAAGTGTGAAAAATGGTCCCAAGTCACTTTTTTCAGTGCCATTGTAACTTTGAACAGTCACTAAACAGTTGTAAGTCGAGGACTACCTGTAGTTTAATAATATTGGCTGTCAAGGCTTTGAAGAAAATTAAAATGGGAATCCTTGGAGTTAGTTGTCTACTACTGCCCCTGGTTCAGCTAAAGAACAGCTACCAAATATAAGCGGTAGTGAATAGGCAGGAGAAATGCCATTTTATAAAAACTGACTTCTCCAGTAGAAACTAGAGAGACATCAGATACATACCCATGTAACGGAAGACGTACAGTATATATAGAAAACACATGTGTAAGAAAGATAAAACACGCCTTAGCTCCAGATAAAGAGACATATATTTAAATATGCAGGCATCTGAATAATAGAATAACAGAGTTGGAAGGAACTTTTGGAGGTCTTCTAGCCCAACCCCCCCCCCCCCCCCGTTCAAGCAGGAAACCCTATAACAGTGATGGCGAACCTTTTAGAGATCGAGTGCCCAAACTGCAACCCAAAACCCACTTATGCATCGTCGGGTGCCGGGTGGATGTGGCCCATTGGGTGAGCGTGGCTGTGGTGGTAATAGCAGAAGTTGAAATTGACTGATTGATTGAACCTTTTTTTTTTGCACACGGCAGCGGAGGCCTAAAGCAAAAAGGTTTTATAAAACCCAGCTGAAGGCCTAGGACTGGGGCGACGGCGCGCGTGCCCACAGAGAGGACTCTGAGTGCCGCCTCTGGCATCCGTGCCATAGGTTCGCCACCACTGCCCTATAACGTTTCAGACAAATGGTTGTCTTCTTAAAAACAGACCTGCTTTCACTTTTAAGATAAGGAAACGTGATTGAACAGAATATGAAAAGAAGGAAGGTTTACACAGGAGGAAAAAAGTCACGGTGATAGAATTGGAACTGTTGTTCAATAAGCAAACCCATTCATTCTATTCTGTTGATACTGATTGGCTACATCTTTAAACAAAAAGACCCATAGAAAGGGGATGGAAAGGCAGGTCTAGCAAGACCACCCTTCCAAAGCTACAAATTTGAATTGAATAAACATACTTTGACCTTCGCTGATGTCTGGCTAATTTTATTGGAACTCCTAGCAAGAACCAAGAACGGGCAAAGAAGGTGCCTTCTGACAACCACATGCTTAATTTAGTCAGAGTGTCAGACAATCCATTTTCTAGTTTTGCACAGGGCACAGGCTCTAACTAACAGCCTTGGCTTGCACAAATTCCTAAACCACACAGCTACTTCCTGCCCCCTGCCCCCCCGCTTTTCAATCTTGTCCAATTCTAGAAGACTGCTTGAACAAGTCCCTGCAGTTTTCTTAGCCAAGTTTTTTCAGAAGGGGTTGGTCATTGTCTCCTTATAATAATAATAATAAAGTTGGAAGGGACCTTGGAGGTCATCTAGTCCAACCCCCTGCTCAGGCAGGAAACCCTATACCACTTCAGACAAATGGCTGTCCAGTCTCTTCTTAAAAACTTCCAGTGTTGGAGCATTCATTGCTTCTGGAGGCAGGTTGTTCCACTGGTTAATTGTTCTAACTGTCAGGAAGTTTCTCCTTAGTTCTAGGTTGCTTCTCTCCTTGGTTAGTTTTCATCCGTTGCTTCTTGTCCTGCCTTCAGGTGCTTTGGAGAATGGATTGACTCCCTCTTCTTTGGAACAGCCCCTGAGATATTGGAACACTGCTAGACATATTCAATTCCAGCAGCCTTTCCTTATATGTTTTAGCCTCCAGTCCCCTAATCATCTTTGTTGGTCTTCTCTGTGCTTTTTCTAGAGTCTCAGAGAAAGTGACTGGCCCAAGTTCACCTAACTGGCTTCGTGCCTAAGGCGGGACTAGAACTCATGCTTTTTGGGGTTTCAGCCTGATGCCTTAACACCACTACATCAAACTGGCTCTCTTTAAAGCTAGGCTTCATATTTGCAGATACGAAGACACGGATCCTTTTCTAAACAGGGTAAGCTCATGGCAGCAACCTGAGGGATCTCTCAGCATGGACCCTACCTGAGGCCTAAAACAGAATCCCAAAACTAGTGTACAGTTTCATTGTCACCTGTCGACAACTGGCACATCGGGGCTGACTGACACCTGTCAGTGAATCCACATGGACGGAACTGCCACATGACCAAGGTTCACTTGACTAAGTTTCGAAACATTTGTCGCCCCTCTCAGTATCTACCTTTTCAATTTCTGAGCACAATTGGCCAAACAAGTAAATTCCACTTAAATTCCACACACAGAGGTATGACACAGGTGTGACTTTAGTCCAACATTACTTGAAATTCAATCCTGTTCTTCCTACGTTTTGTACACCATGTCCTTCTTTTGTGGCTAAGCTGTTACAGTACATAAAACGTTTTCCCATCTTAACTTTTTTTTAACTTACACAAAATATTTGAGAAGCCCACTTTCTCCTGGTATGGATTTGTATGCCTGTGCCTTTAAAAAGACACATAATGCAGAAAAACAAAATCAGTCCCAGGCTTGCCTTTAATTTTACAATTTTTTATAAAGTAAGCTTTGTTACACTGTAAGTAGATTTCCCTTCAGGGAGAATTCTAGTCAACCCTCAAATTCTTTGAAACATTGACAGAAAACAATCTTTAAAAGGATTGACATAGGATTTATGCATGCCACTTACCTCGTGCTTAGAAGAGAATGGGAGATCTTGCTTCCTTGAAGTTAACAGTAACTATAGAGACAGTTATGGGACTGACCAACCTTTGTAACTTCTGATATTGTAATTGGTTCTCTAGCAGGAAGTTGGAATTGCTGTTAAGAATGTTTTGCAAGAAGATAAGTCATATCTCATTAGACCTTGAAACTCCAATAGTATTCATACGGAAAGAAAACCAAATAAATAAAAGCAGGAAATAAACAGACATTTCATGGAAGTATGTAGCTAGAGAAAATATTCATACAGAAAGAAAACCAAATAAATAAAAGCAGGAAATAGATATTTCATGGAAGGATGTAGCTAGAGAAAATATTCATACAGAAAGAAAACCAAATAAATAAAAGCAGGAAATAAACAGACATTTCATGGAAGTATGTAGCTAGAGAAAATATTCATACAGAAAGAAAACCAAATAAATAAAAGCAGGAAATAGATATTTCATGGAAGGATGTAGCTAGAGAAAAAAAGAGATGGACAGAAGGGAAGGGAAGGAGGGAGGAAGGAAGGAAGGAAGGAATTCTTATGACCATTTCTAGAAAACTCCATTGAGTTTATGGGACAGTTAAAAAGCAGATACTTAACTTCCAAACAAATCATACAAACTTGGTTTAGAGTCTGAAAATCATGTGACATTCCGCCTCCCCCCCCCCCTTGGGTTACAATTTTAATTTTTGCTAGCTATCCAGAATTACATTTGTGTGATTGGTGATCATATAAGTGTATTTAAGCACATCAATCAGGCTCTTCTCTATGGTCTTTTTCCTTTGCTGACGCTAACCCTCCACCGAACCTTGAGTCTGTGAAAAATAACACCTGTATAAAATTTGTTGTCCTTATTTCCAATCCGTCTCCTTTCCCTGTTTCCTCTGTGTCCAGATCCAGCGAGGACCTGACTTCTCTCCAAGGAAAGGGGTCACAACAGAGTTGACATATCTTGAGACATATCTCAATCACATCAAACTGAGGGAGAAAAGTTCTACTGCACCACTGGATAATCTTACTGTAATCCTGTCTTGTACGGGCTGGTGATGTTTGTTTGTTTGTTCAATTTCTATGGCTGCTCCTCTCAGTCAAGAATTCTGGGCAGCTTACAGTTCACAAAATTAAAAGTTTAAAAAACTTTTTGAAATAATAAAAAGAGTAAAATAAGTTTTTTTTAAAAAAACCATTAAAAGCATCCAGTTCGTGATACACCAGAGCAAAATATTTGGTCCATTAGCAATATAGCTAGGAAACGAGGTCCTTGCCACATTCAGCGCCTCAGGCTCAGGAACATAGCCAGGTTTTTAAGGCCTTACAAAAGGCTAACTGGGTTGGGACCATTCTGCTCTCCGAAGAGAGGATGTTTTAGAGAGCAGGGGCCACTGCAGAAAAGGCTCGTCTTCTGGTCCCTGACAGCCAACGCTCTTTGGCTGACGGGATCTGAAGCATGCCCATTCTGCTTGACCTAGTTCACGGGTAGACAACCTTGGCTCTTTTATGACTCGTGGACTTCAACTCCCAGAATTCCCGAGCCAGCATGGCTCAGCTTGGAAACTTTCCCTTTCCCCTCAGCATGGCTGGCTCAGGAATTCTGGGAGTTGAAGTCCACGAGTCATAAAAGAGCCAAGGTTGCCTACCCCTAGCTGGATGGATACAGACAAAAAAGGCAATCCCTCGGGTACCGCACTCCCAGGCCATGTAGGTAACCACTACCACTTTGTGGGTTTTTTGTAAAAGTTTTTATTATTTCCCCCCCCCCCATACATTCAGTAGTAGTTTTTCAACCAACGTGCTGTCTGAGTTTACATTGGCTAATACATATTTAATTCCTAATCCAGTGATGGCGAACCTTTTAAAGACCGAGTGCCCAAACTGCAACCCAAAACCCACTTATGCATCGTCGAGTGCCGGCTGGGTGTGGCCAACTGGCTGGGTGTGGCCCATTGGGTGGGCGTGGCCCATTGGGTGGGCGTGGCTGCGGTGGTAACGGCAGACTGGGTGGGACTAAAACATTCAATCAATCAATTCCAACTTTGCAAGATCTTTTTTTTCCCGTGAGAAGTTGAAATTGACTGATTGAACCTTTTTTTTTTTTTTTTTTTTTTCACATGGTGGCGTAGGCCTAAAGCGAAAAGGTTTTATAAAACCCAGCTGAAGGCCTAGGATTGGGGCGACGGTGCGTGTGCCCACAGAGAGGGCTCTGAGTGCCGCCTCTGGCACCCGTGCCATAGGTTCGCCACCACTGTCCTAATCCTTTATTCTGTCCTCTAGTCATCGATAAAATAAGTCCCAAGTTTGATAATATTCCGTTTCTTTTTTTCTTTCAGTCTCATAGTCAGTCTATCCATCTCTGCGCATTCTAGTATTTTTTTGATTATTTCTTCATCTGATGGTGTTCCTTCATTTTTCCAGTATTGCGCAAATATAATTCTTGCCGCTGTTGTGACATGCAAAATCAAATATAAGCTTTGTTTGTTAGTCTTTTCTGGCATTATACCTAATAAAAAAAGTTCAGGTTTAAAATCAACATGTTCTCCCAACATCTTTTCTAGCCAGGTATGGATCTTTTTCCAATAACTCTTTACTTTGTCACATGTCCAGCAAACATGATAATACATGCTTGACTTCTGTTTACATTTCCAACAGCTATCTGACATGTTTTTAAACATTTTTGCTAATCTTGCTGGTGGCAAGTGCCATTTATAGAACACTTTATATAAATTTTCTTTGTAGGAAGTTGACATTGTCAGTTTGTAATTTCTTTCCCATAAATTTTGCAATTTTTCTAATTCTACATTATATCCAAAATTTTTCGCCCATCTTATCATTGTTTCTTTAACTTGTTCGCTTTCCATTTTCAAAGTTAATAGAAAATTATACATTTTCTTAATTAGTTTCTCATCAGACGTTAACAATGTCTTATCAAATACAGTTTGTTCCTTGTAAAATCCATACAGTTTAACATCTTTATCATATCTAGTTTTTGCACTTTGAATTGCACCCGGAAATACACCGGCAACCAGTGCAGCTCACACAGGAGTGGTGTTACATGTGCCATAAATCTGGCACCATTTTACTATCTGCGTGACCACATTTTGCACCAGTTACAGTTTCCAAATGGTCTTCAAGGGCAACCCCATGTAGAGGGTGTTGCAGCAGTCTAACCTGGAGTTTACAAGGATGTCAATTACTGAGAGCAGAGCCTCCTGGTTCAGGTATCGATGCAACTGGCCCATCAGCTGGAGATTTGCAAATGAGATGTGATATGATGAAAGCAACTGGATTGTGATCAGAAGAAAACTGGAATGGCTCTCTAACTTTACACAAAAATAGAACAAGTTAAGATTTCCTGCCTTGAAACGGAAGATCTACAATTTTCTGGCTGAGTTTCAATATACAACCTAGCAATTAAAAATGCAGTAATCTTATCAGGAAAAAAACTGTACTGTATTTTAACAAAGTGATTCATTTTTTTTATATCTTCTATAACAGTGGTGGCGAACCTATGGCACGCGTGCCAGAGGCGGCACTCAGAGCCCTCTCTGTGGGCACGCGTGCCGTTGCCCCAGCAGAGTTCTCCAGAGTAGCAAGCATGTGCCGTTTGGAAGCGACAGGGCAGGAAGTGAGCGAACAAGCGGTGTTGGCCCCCCAAGGATGCCCCGGAGATGGCGAGGGACTGGCCCTGGCCACACTCACCCAGTCTGCCGTAACCACTGCAACCACACCCACCCAGTTGGCCATGCCCCCCGCCCCTGAGGGCACCACAATGCTGATGCAGCCCTGGCACTTTGCGATAAATAAGTGGGTTTTGGGTTGCAGTTTGGGCACTCGGTCTCTAAAAGGTTCGCCATCACTGTTCTATAAGGAAATAGGATATTATGTCCTAGAATGAGCCTGACAGCATTAATAGGTAGTGTTAAATTGGCTTTTCTGCTTCTTATTAATTGCTACTTTTTCTCATACCTCTCCCAACACAATAAGAGAGTTGAAAGGAAACTTGAGGTCTTCTAATCTAACCCCTTGCTCAGGCAGGAAGCCATATACCAGTGGTGGTGAACCTATGGCACGCGTGCCAGAGGCGGCACTCAGAGCCCTCTCTGTGGGCACGTGCACCATCACCCCAGCCCTGCCTCCCCACACGGCCCCCTCCTCATCAACAGCCCCCTGGAGGAGAGTTGCCTCCTGGGCGCGGAGCAGTGCAGCCAAGCACATGGCAGCTGGGCAGCAGGGACAAGACTCCATCCTCGCGCCCCGTCGCACGCAGATGATGCGGGGCGTGGGGGAAGGCGTGGCCACCATGGTGCTGCAGAGCCACCTGAGCAATCTGCGGTGGGCCGTGGAGGTGGTGGGTGGCCCGGCAGGTGAGGCGGGGTGGGGCGGGGACAGGGCGGGGGTGGAGCAGGCAGGGCGGAGTGATGGGGACGGGGTGGGGCAGTTTTTGGGCACTTGGTCTCTAAAAGTTTTGCCATCATTGCCATATACCATTTCAGACTAGTGGCTGTCCAATGTCTTCTTAAAAACTTCCAATATTGGAGCATTCACAACTTCTGGAGGCAAGTTGTTCCATTGATTAATTGTTCTAACGATCAGGAAATTTCTCCTTTGTTCTAGGTTGCTTCTCTCCTTGATTAGTTTCCATCTGTTGCTTCTTGTCCTGCCTTCAGGCGCTTTGGAGAATAGGTTGATCCCTCTTCTTTGTGGCAGCCCGTCACGTATTGGAACGCTGCTATCATGTCATCCCTCGTCCTTTTCATTAAACTAGAAGTACCCAGTTCCAACAACTGTTTTTTATATGTTTTAGCCTCCAGTTCCCTAATCATTTTTGTTGCTCTTCTCTGCACTCCTTCTAGAGCAGTGGTGGCGAACCTATGAAACGTGTGCCAGAGGTGGCACTCAGAGCCCTCTCTGTGGGCACGCACACTGTCGCCCCAGCCCCGCCTTCCCCCATGGCCCCCTCTTCACCAGCAGGCCCCTCGGAGAAGAGTCGCCCCTGGGCATGGCCCGCATGGAGCAGCACAGCCAAGGACATGGCAGTCGGGCAGTGGGGACAAGACTCCGCCCTCACGCCCCGTCGTGCGCAGTTGATGCTGCGGGGCGCGGGTGGAGGGCGTGGCCGCCAT